ACGGAAAGATTCCCCAGCTTAAATTTCCTCTCAGACTATCAGAAATCTAGGGACCACAACTCCTCTTCCCCAATATACTTTCCTACAATCCCCAATAGCTCCCCAGTAGAGCAACGGACAATGAAAACTTCTGAACTCTTTTTCCTAAGCAGAATCAACACTCTCCAACATAGTTTTTCTTCTTAAGCAAAATCAACATTCCCCAACGGAGTTCTCCTCAAATAACAAAACAGGAATCCCCAGCGGAAACATTCTAAAAGCAAGGTATGGAAAAGTGTGCATACTCTTCATTCCTAACGGTCGCCTGAGATTTAGCTTCCCAAAGCTCCCCAGCACTTGTCAAGGATTTATTTTCCAAGACAAAATTACATTCCAACAACATTTCATGCATCATATTACATACATGTTAAGCGGATACAGCACAAATGCATACGACATAATCTCATTTTTTTTGAGAACATCATTACGCCATGCATTCCATACATCATGGCATTGCATACAATTAACTCTTTACCTTTTCAGAAAAGATCAATCAACAGAAAATTATCATCAACAAATTTCCAACAAGACAAGACAACTATCTGTGAACGAATCAATTGTAGATCAATTCCCAAAACAGGACTGGGTGACTATCTACATGACAAACACTTCTTATTCAAGACTCTACTAGTTCAGTTTAAATGTCTCAATGGTTTATCCCGATACTTTTTCGTATACATTTTCTCTGGTTCAGATAAATCGCTCCAAGATTTATTCTGATTCTTTCCAGTTAAAGAATATTTGAGACCTCTACTGGTTCAGTTTAAATCTCTCAATAGTTTATCCTGATACTTTCTCGTAGATATTTTCTCTGGTTCAGATAAATTTCTCCAAGATTTATTCTAATTCTATCCAATTAAAGACTATTCAAAACCTCTGCTGGTTCAATTTAAATCAATCAATGGTTTATTCTCATACTTTTCCAGTAAACACTTTTTCTGGTTCAGTTAAATCGACCCTAAGATTTTTCTGATTCTTATCCAGTTAAAGACAATTCAAGACCTTTATTGGTTCAGTTTAAATCTCTCAATGGTTTATCCTAATACATTCCCGTAGACATTTTCTCTGGTTCAGATAAATCACTCCAAGATTTATTCTGATTCTTTCCAATTAAAGAATATCCAAGACCTCTACTGGTTCAGTTTAAATCTCTCAATGGTTTATCCTGATACTTTCCCGTAGACGTTTTCTCTGGTTCAGATAAATCGCTCCAAGATTTATTATGATTCTTTCCAGTTAAAGAATATTCAAGACCTCTATAGGTTCAGTTTAAATCTCTCAATGGTTTATCCTGATACTTTCTCGTAGATATTTTCTCTAGTTCAGATAAATCGCTCCAAGATTTATTTTTATTTTTTCTAGTTAAAGAATATTCAAGACCTCTGCTGGTTCAATTTAAACCTCTCAATGGTTTATCCTGATTCTTTCCCATAGACATTTTCTCTGGTTCAGATAAATCGCTCTAAGATTTATTCTGATTCTTTCCAGTTAAAGAACATTCAAGGCCTCTGTTGGTTCAGTTTAAATCTCTCAATGGTTTATCCAGATTCTTTCACGTAGACATGTTCTCTGGTTCAGATAAATTACTCCAAGATATATTATAATTATTTCCAGTTAAATAATATTCAAGACCTCAGCTGGTTCAGTTTAAATCAATCAATGGTTTATCCTAATTCCGTTTCAGTAGACACTTTCTGCGGTTCAAATAAATTGCTCCAAATATTTATTCTGATACTTTCCAATTAAAGAATATTCAAGACCTCTATTGGTTAAGTTTAAATCTCTCAATGATTTATCCTGATTCTTTCCCGTAGACATGTTCTCTGGTTCAGATAAATCGCTCCGAGATTTGTTCTGATTCTTTCCAGTTAAAGAATATTCAAGACCTCTGATGGTTCAGTTTAAATTGATCAATGGTTTATCCTGATACCGTTCTGGTAGACACTTTCTCTGGTTCAAATAAATCGCTCCAAATATTTATTCTGATTCTTTTCCAGTTAAAGATTATTCAAGACCTCTGTTGGTTCAGTTTAAATTGATCAATGGTTTATCCTGATTCCATTCCGGTAGACACTTTCTCTGGTTCAAATAAAATGCTCCAAAGATTTATTCTAATTCTTTTCCAGTTAAAGATTATTCAAGACCTTTGTTGGTTAAGTTTAAATCGATCATTGGTTTATCTTGATTCCATTCCGGTAGACACTTTCTCTGGTTCAAATAAAACGCTCTAAAGATTTATTCTGATTCTTTTCCAGTTAAAGATAATTCAAGACCTCTGTTGGTTCAGTTTAAATCGATCAATAGTTTATCCTGATTCTTTCCCAGTAGACACTTTCTCTGGTTCAGATAAATCGCTCCAAAGATTTATCTTGATTCTTCCCAGTTAAAGATAATTCAAGACTTCTGCTGGTTTAGTTTAAATCGATTAATGGTTTATCCGATTCCTTTTTGTTAGACACTTTCTCTGGTTCAGACATATCACTCCTAATATTTATTCTGATTCTTTTCCATTTAAAGTCAAGCTTAGACTTAGTCTAATTTCTACCGACAATCGCTTCTGGATGGCATCCATAAGCCCATCTCCAACAATATCCCTTCACTCTCCAAATGGCATCTTTAAGCCCATTCCCGATGCAATAAACACAAGCGAGTGCAAATTTCTAGGCACTCTAGTGTTCAATCATCTTCCACTTTCAAGCTACAAACGACAAACATGCCAATCTCACCTTTTCAAGTTTAAGAAGATTGAACAAGGGCAGTTGTTGTACCCTAAAATTTGTCCTCCCATTTTTCATTCAATAATGCACTTTGGCTCAAATGATCAGTGTTTGTGCCAACTAGGTTTTCTGTTGGTTTGAGATCTGAGTTCTTTGATTTCCTCTTTGAGTTGTGAAGTGAAATTAGGGATTTGAAGTTTGGATTCATGGTTATCTTCTTTAACCAGCTACAAGTCCATTCTTTATCAAGATTAATTAAGAAGCAAGGTGTTAGAGTTATGTGCTTAAAATTGATTTCAGTTGAGGTCCATTGGATTGCTTGAAAAGTGTTCTCTTATACTAAGAGTTTTGCCACCTTCAAAATTTCCTCAAGGCATTATTGTTTTGTTGGATTGATATTCAAGTGCAAGTCATGGCATAAAAGATGAACTTGTGGATTCTTTATGGTCAAAGTCTTTATTATTTGTTTGCTTATACTGCAAGTTGATTTGGAAGTGAGGATTGAAGTAGGCTATATTCAATAAGTTAGCATGGATTTTATTCAAGAGTTATATCAAGGGGTGTTCATCAAAAGGCCCATTCAAGGTTTTAAAATTTATCATTCCATGTTCAAACGCATCATTATCTAAGTTTCTTTATTCAATCTTTGCCAAAAGTCAACAAATTCATCATTCATAAAATTCACTCATGTTTTGTGTTCAAGTTACATTTTTGGACAATTTACAAAAGGGATTACAATGCGAAATACAAGTTGAATCACAAGTTACAATTGTTGGTTTACAAAAAAAGAAATAAAAAACGTTTCTTCTTCAAAGTCTCTTTGCTTCATCTTCAAGAAACTCGTCCATTCCTTGCTAGCCATGGCCTTTTCATCTTTCAACCTCGTTTTGACCGTCCAAATACTCATGTTCATGAAACAACAAAAAGAGAAAGTTAGCAAACATCATCATGTGAAAAATTCCAAACAAGAATTAATTGTTAAAAGAAATTTGCATTTCATCATTAGGGTTTGCATTTGGAATCATATATTCAAAATGGGTTTTCGGTCGTAGGCTATCTTCTCCTATTTTGCAAATCACAAAAGTCTATGTTTTGGTTCACAAAAAAAACCAAAACACAAAACAACAGTGCAAGCTAGCACTAGCTCACATAGCCCTATATCATCATTTTTCTAAATATTGCAAACCATTCAGAAAAATAGTTTGCATCAATGAAAGAGAAAGAGGAAAAGAGACAGGTTTTGAGAAATATCACCTAAACCAAAACAGTCCAACCTTGCTGTAAAGCAATAGCTCTGTTGATGTCCCAAACCAGCAAAAAACAGCCCTACTCTAATAGTCTAGAGTCTGCTACAAACCTGCCCAAAACTGTTTAAATTATCCAAACAAAACGAGCCAAAAAACCTGAACCTCAGATGTGCCACACTTACTCCAAGAAACTTGAAAATAACATCAGAATAGGCAAAATAGAACATGTACTCAAAAGGGCACAAAGTCAGCTTGCCAATAATGTTCAAAACCTCACCCAATTCCCCCCCCCCCCACACACACACACTTTTCACTCTTTATCTCAATATAATAACAACCACTGTTCCATGGAAAAGAGAGGGGATGTTTTACCAATGCAGCAAAATCGAGAGAGAAAGAAAAGGGTGCTAGAAATCCATAGAAAACTCCACAACCTCTAGCCTTATAACATCCTTATCAAATCCACACTAAAAATTTCTCTTTTACTCTCTACCACATAAAATAATTCCTCAAAACTTACCTCTCTACAAACTCAGCCCTGCAAACACTTCCAATACTCCAAACAACCATATTTCCAGAATTTCAGAATCAAGCATAAAGAAGAGAAAAGTAAAAGTAAATAGGAATCATTATTATCTCACCTTTGGTTTTCTGAATATTATCTTCCTCAAGCTACAAATCCAGGTTCTGATTCTCTTATTTATCTGTATATTATGTGTCGTTATTGTGTTGTCTTGTTGTTGTTTGTTGCCATAAAATATACTGTAATGTTGTTTGTTACCCTAAACCAATCTCACATTCCACTCCCTTCTCCTTAAAACAAGAAATCTCAGAAAAATTCCCAATTCATAAAACGTGAAAACAGTCATCAAAGGTCCACTAATCACAAACTGTTAAGCTCAATTCATACCTATGGCAGGTTAACAAACTTCGTGCGGAAACAGACACCCCCACTCCCTGCAGCTCGGGTCTGAAGGAACCTTGCGGGTAAGGCACCATGTTTAAGCACAACAATATTATCCCAAATGAACATTTTCACAAGCACCGGCAAAACTATGTGAAGACATGAGTTAGCTTACCAGCAAGGAAGATAACAAGACGCTTGGCTAGCCAAAAGAAGGCAGTTATGATTTTCCCCAGGCCTACTGCTGGACCTCTTAGGACAATTATTCATGGCCAAACAACCAAATACAACATGAAACTCAGAGCTAGTTAAGGGTTTTCTCTTGAAGAGTTGAAGGCTACTGGCATTGCTATCGATCATCGCTGCAAAAACCATTCTTTGGAGGGTCTTAAAACTAATGTGCAGAGGCTGAAGACATACAAGGCCAATTTAGTTGTTAACCCAAGACGACATTATGTACCTCTACCTTTATTCTGTCTGCAAGATCGGGAGCATAATCGGCCGCGGCGGCGAGATCGTGAAGTAGCTTCGCGTGGAGACGAAGGCGAAGATCCAGATCAGGGAGACGATTCTGGGATGAGACAAGCGTGTTGTGACGATCTATAGTATGACACATGAGGCGAATGAGTTTGAGGAGTTGGGGAAGTTTGTGTGTCCTGCGGAGGATGCACTTTTAAGGATTCATCAAAGGGTTGCTTTGGAGGTTTTGCATGGTCGCGGTGAGGTTGACGAAGAGGAATGATTGGAAGAGAAAGAGTTGATTTTTGTTTGGTTTGTTACAAGATACAGAGAGAGTGTGAGGGAGGTGAAGAGAAACAAAGGAATAATTTTGTGCCTGTGGCGAAGAGATAAGCAATAACAATAATTAATTAAATCTTTTCCTTTCCAATACTCCCTCCAGTGGCGCTTACTTTTGTTTTAGGGTTCCCAATCTTTCCATGTTCCTTCCCTAGGCCGGCTCAGTTTCTAATGGGCTTGTTGGCTATATTTTCCCTTATATATCAATTAAAACTTAATAATAACGAATAAGTAATCTGGTACAATTGGCAAAGCATATTACCCATAATCTTGAAGACCCGGGTTCAACCCCTACTAGGGCATTATTTTCTGTTTTTCTTAATTTCATTTAGATATTTGATAGCAAAACTAATTTTGGTTTTAATTATTAAAATTTCAATTAAAAATTTATAATTATTTAGTTTATGATAAAAATTCAAAAAAAATATAGAATAGATCTTTATTTTCTTTTTAAATTTTTCACAAACAAACATACCAAGACTTTTATTTCCATAATTTTGTTAATTAATTTTTACTTCATAGATTGTTGTAGTTTTAATTGATTTTTTAGATTCGATTTGGTTGTATTGATTGCCTATTTAGACTTTTTATCGCATTATCGATTCGATCCATCCCCATTTGTAAATTTGTACCCCCATTCCCGAAAGCTCTGTAATAGCGAAGAATTTTAATTTCCGCAAGTTATTGTTTTCCTTATATTGTATAGTAATTAGGCGTTTATGATAAGATATAAAATCAATCACTAGACAACCCTAATCAAAGACAAATTAACTTGAATCAAACACACTTTCACACGCGCACCTCTAAGGTAACCTCGCTTGTTGCCTCGGAAAAAACAGTCATGTCCCTCGAATATGGGACGCTTTAGCAAAGACCCTTCGATATAAAAAATCATACTCCCTCGATGTTGCCTTCGGTAAAACGATCCAGCCCCTTATAAAAATTGCTAAAGCGTCTCACAAGTTACCTTTTATGACTGTACAATTGACCTGCGCCTGTCCCTTCACATCCAACGATGGGGCTTCTTACCAAATCAATGGTAAGATAGCAACATCTAAAAGAGGAGGAAAAGAACATTAGACCTTTTGAGTAGGTAGGATGCTCCTAGTTGCTCGCTTGAACACAACAAAAACATTTTATACACCAACACTTTCATTTGAAACATTTTCAAAAGTTAAAACAATTTGTACGCGTTCTTATAGAAACGAGAACCATTACAATGACACCTTTTTAAAATCACTTTCAAAAACACATTCCACAAACACTTATTTGAACTATTTTCAAAACCAACCCTTTGTATGCGTTCTTATAAAAATGAGAACCATTACAAAGACATTTTCAAAATACTTTCAAAACCCACACCACAAACGCATTTTCAAACAAAAACAAGTGATCTAGCAAGTAACTAAGAGCCCATAGATAACTACAGATGGAAAGGGTTCTAATACCTTCCCTTTTCATAACCTACCCCCCGATGCAAATAGAGGCTGAGATTCGACTCAGTCTAGCAACAATAATCCACCAGTTTTTGTTTCACTTCAGTTTATAAAAAAAAACAAATCATGGACCTAATGGACTTTCGGTCTGGTTCAACAAGAACCCATTCTATTTTTTTTAGTTTAATTGAAAAAAATATTAGGGTAAAAGTGACTGACGTTCCCAATTCCTCGCGATTCTCTTCTTCTTCTCCGAAGCTTCGCTAGAGGCGCGATACCAATTCCTCCTCTCATTTCTCAATCGACGCTTACAGCGCCGCTATGGATGTAAAACGTTTAAGTCATTTTCGCTCACTCTTCGCTGTTCTGTTTCAATCATCCAATATTTGACTTCAATCGCTCAACCTTCGTCTTTGAGTCATCCTCGCATCATCCTTAATCTCATTCTCCAATTTGATTTTGGTGGCTCCATCTCTGACGTAAAACAATCCTTCTTACGCTTCATTTCGTTTCAGCACCTCCGTCGAGTTTAGGTTTCACATCGTCTCTGATCTCTTGGAGTTCCAAGATTGTTTCGAAATTCACACAAACACACACAACAATGGAGAAGCACGCATAGAGAAGCAGAATTTGATTTCACACACAAACACAATACAACAAAATTATGGTGACGATGACTTACTCGCGGTGATCTCGAAAATGCACAGAATATAAAACCAGAGACGAGATTCTGATGCTGCTATCAGGTATCAATTTCTTCTAATTTCTTCTTATTCTTCATTTAATTCACTTCTTCTTCATCTGTGATTCTTCCGCGAAAATTGTTGCCGCTAACGTTGTAGTGATATTAGTGATGTTGAGCATTGTGCTTAATGGTGATGCTGAACACGATGAAGAAGTGAGAGATGAGAGAGTGCAGAAGAAGAATCTGAGAAATAAACTCATAATTCAGGGAAAATATTTTTATCAATAAAAAAAAGGATCAAGAGTTCAGAGAGAGATTGAGGATTTTTTGTGAATTTTTCTAGTGAACAATGGTGAATGAAGCGTTAGGCTGTTGTTATGATTTACAATGATGAAGACGAGAAGAAAGTATGGAGGGTTGAAGGTTCTGCGATGATATTTCCGAGGGAGTAAGTGCAGAGAGAAAGGTTCATTTCTGATTTTCTATTCCCCTTTTCTGTTATTCTGTTACAACTTGGTTGGCCTTTTTCTATTAGGGACAGTTAGAATTTCTGTTAGAAGAATGAGAGTTAGTTATTGTTGGTTAGGAGGATAGTTAGGTAGGGTTGGTTATGCAGGGCCTATTTTGTTAGCAATTCAGTTTTGTTCTGTTATGTTTTGTTAGAACCTGCTGGGGATTTTTCTGCTAGATGCGATTAGGGGTTGTTAGAGATTGGTTAGGAGGGCTAACTCAATCAGTTACCAACAACTCAGTGAGTTAAGTATTTGCTTTTTCTTTTTTGTAAAATTAGTTAACGTTTTTTAAGTTACAAGAAGTTGAACCTCTGTTACTAAACTGGAATTCTTTGGTTAGGAATTATTATTTTGGACTGCTGTAACTTCTTCCCTCTTTTTATTTGTTTTTCATGGTTGAGCTGCTAATTGATTAATTGTAGGGATTCTTTTGTATGAATTGCTACAGGTACAAAGAGATTGGTGCATGGTCATAATGGCAAAGCATGGTTTATGGTTATGAAGACAAAGCATGGTTCATGGTTATAAAGGCAAAGCATGGTTCATGGTTACAAATGAGTTAAGACTCAAAACATGTCATGAAGATGAAGATGAACAGAGCATATGTTTAGGATAGTGTATTTTTTGGTGAAATTTGTAATCCTTCTCATTGATGTAATGCAATAACGTCAAATGATGTAATAGTATCCGAACTTGTATTTATGTGATTTTGTAATATTTGGAACTTGGATAAATTTAAATGAGATCTTGGTATTTTCTTTTTGATATATTATGCTTTTCCGAAACTTCAATCCAAAAACTCCATTAGAAGCTTGCATCAATTTTACACGTCACGCTTGCAATTTTAAGAGACTTCAATCTCCATGTTCCAATCTCAAATTGTCACTAACTTGCCTTTAAACCAGGCTCTTAGTTGAAGAATCATACACAAAAATTTGAGTTCGAGTTACTTGGACATTGAATCAAACTCTACCTTTGAATTATCCCTTGAACGTATCATTGCACTTTGATTATCCCAAAATGACTGAATGATCATTATTATAATAACTTTAACCCTTAACTCTGAATCTTAATCCTTCATAATAAGCATTGAGTCTATGGCTTAATGTAATTAGGAATGAACTTAAAAGAATCTCATAACACAAGTAAACCAAGCATTCATATGAAATATCTTGCATTAAGGTATCCACGAACCCTAATTTGCCACGGATGGGATCCTCTGAAGATATTGTTGCCTTGTGTTGCATATTGAAACTTCTTGAACCAAAACCCTAGCATACCATAAGTACACTAACATCTCTCCATGTCTTGTGATTTTTGAATCATGAGTTGAATCCTTGAGAATGTAAGACTTAGCTGATGAACCACTCTTAGTTCAACCCCTCCTTAAAGTCCACATGCTTAGGAAAACAAAGTATAATCGAGTGATGATGATGACAAACATAAGAAGATGCTAAATACCTGAACTGGTAACCTTTAGGAAACCTTATATGATGACTTATGTAATAAGCAATCACAACCACCTTATATTTTGAAGAATGCAACAAGAATATTGAGGAAGTGGAGCTCTAGATGATGTGACCAAGCCTTGCAATTTGATGTTAGGAAGAGCAGAATAACCCCATAGCTTGGTGATAAAGAAATCCATGAATTGAAATCTTAGATCCAAACAAAACCTGAATGATGAATGAACCTGTTGATTTAAACCTGAGTGAAGATAAGAGCTTAAAAGAATATAGAGAAACCCTAACTTCAAGATCCTTATTCCCGTGCCAAATTTAATGTTTGATGATGCATGATGTGTTAAATGACCTAATGCAGATTATATGCATGAGAAAAGCGTGAGATGCATAAGCCAGATAAAAGTGAAAGGGTAGGACAAATTTAGGGTATTACAGCTTCCCCTAATTAATCATCTTAAACCTGAAAGTACGATTGGCGCGTGCCTTTCAGAAGTTCGAGGTAGAAGATGATTAAATACCAATGCCAAAAATTTGTTCTAGGAGAAAGTGTGAGTGTTTATTTATTTTTGTGATATTTGCCGAGGAAAGAATTTTTTGTTTTCTAGTGAAGAGGCGAAGATTGGACTTACAACATGGTGTGATGCCAATACAAGACACAGGTTGGTACGAAAAGACAGCGGACAAGGTCTACGGGCGACCTACGATCCTAAGG